GAAAGGAAAAATTGAAATCGCATCATATGACCCCTTTAAATATTTCCTTAGTAACACTTTACAATAAGATCACATTTGTTATCTAACTCATTTGTTAGATATGTGAAAGTCTTTTTGAACAACTGGTGAGCTGTGGCTTATATATAATCAACAATAACTTTAACAGCATTAGCATTACTATGATCTGTCAGGGTCACATTGTAACAATAGCTATATTATCTGTGTAAATTAACCATGCAGGACGTTGGGTATAAGAAAAGAATAAAATGTATTATGATGATTATTGTTATAAACAGGGGAGACCTAAATCTAGTCCAGCATGCATTTCTGTGGCCCGTGCTTGAGCAGAAACCTGCAAAAACCACAGCGCATGTGGAAATCCTTTAATAAAGCACATCCTGTTTAATTAGTGGAAACGGGAAGCAGCAGTGCTCACCGACTTGTAGAGAGTGCCGGTTCGGTGCTCAATAAACATGCTAGTTTCACGTCCGTGTCTAGATTAATTGCGTTAATCATAGAGATGATGATAAACATTGGAATGCTAATTTATTCAAGTCAATGCAGAAGCCAGATAAAACAGAGAAATGTTTGCGTTTGAAAGCAAAACTTGCTAAATGTATGCCAAGTATAAATTTAGTTATTCAAATTTCAAACAATACATGGAGGAATCATTTTAATCTCAGCTGTGTATTACATTATTGTTGGAGGAAAGCGTGAGATTACTCAGGATTTCTCTCAAGGGAGCGTATGACTAACTGTAGACTCACACAGAGCAGAACCTCAAGTCTCGAGGGCAGGTGAGCTGCTGGTCTTTGCTCATTATTTTAGCATGTGTCTCTATTTGGGTGAGTCAAAAAGAGAGAGAGACCATCCATCAGCCCCTAATGAGACCATTACTGCTCCAGTCTGTCCCTCTGCCATTCAAAAGCACTAATGCCCGTCCTCTCACATGACACCAGAGCAGGTCTGGAGTACTGGGCAGGAATGTAGAGTCATCCTCTGGTGAGCTCAAGGCTCTGCTGTTGTCTGCTGAGATACACATGAGTCAAAGTGACCAGAGCAGAAGATCTATTTAGCCTTGAATATTTCTGTTTGTTCACTCTGCAAACTTTATCTGTCAGATTTAGAAAACATTTCATGTTAGCAGAACAAAAAGAGGGCGCTAGAGATTCAAACTATGATTTAAAAAATGAATATTGACTATGATTTTGCTTGAGGTGTGAAATTAAAATGGTAGTTTATACAAAAAAAGAAGAATTCTGTCATCATATACTCACCTTCATGTTGTTTCAACCCTGTCCCAAAATTCTTCAAAACATATTTTATATTCCATAGAAGAAAGTAAGTCATACAGGTTTTAAATGACATGAGGACAAGTAAATAATGACCATTTTCATTTTGGGATGAACTATCCCTTTAAGTAACATGATGAATATCACATTGGTTTTAATATGCTTTTTTTTTTTTGTCCATTCAGTTTCCTAAAGTAAGAGTCATTAGGCGAATTTAGATCCAAAAGTTTAGATCATTACATAAAATATATTTTACAAATGTCTCTATGTGGTACTTATAAAGAATTAAAATGGTATTATAATTCTATCTATCTATCTATTTAGCATAAATTGTTAAAATGATTCCTTTCACAGGAAAAATCCAGAGCAAATTAAATTGTCAAATTCTTATTAAAAAATAATTTTAATATAAAAAATATGGGGGAAAATTAAAACAAATGAAATACCAAACACAGATTTTTTAATTTGTCATATTTGTGGTGATATTCATTCAATATTTAAAAATACATTATTTTATATAAAAAAATCGTATTTCTTTCTTTTCTTTTTTTTTTTGACTTTTGGTGAACCTACAAATTTAGTAAAGATTTAGTAACTACTTTGAATAAAACAAGTTCATTTAAATATTACCTACAGGGCACATTTTTGAGAGTGAATTTTGGGTGGCAAAATGCTGCAATACAAAAGGAGCTCACCAGAACCTCAGCAATCTGGAAAATGCAAATTACACAGGGGGGAAAAAAAACAGTTATATGTGGCGAAGAGGGCACATACCTCCCCTGTCCCTGATGGCCAGATTATTGCCCTTCTTCAACACAATGTCCAGCTGATACATTCCTGGCTTTGACGGGAGAGGAAGTTCTTCATTACTTGGCTCCACAATATTGATACCCTACAGGAGGAGAGGAAACAGTGAGGTGGTCAGACAGGCCTACATACACACTGCACTAAGATTTCAAGCACATACTTCAGGGAATCTATATCCAGTTTATTGCTTAATGTTATGAAGACTTAAAACATGAAGTGTTGGTACATCAGCTCCTCCCACCAATATAGCGCAGCTCAATAGAATAGTAATAGCTGATATGGCAGCAGAGAGAAAAAAGGACATTTGCATTTCACTCTGCCTTCACAGTAACATAATCACTCTGCCTCTACAATCTCAAATCCAGACTTCACAACCTTGAGATGTTCAAAAGAGCCACCGTCTTTGCTTGCCTTCCCTTCTGAGAAACTTCAGGCTATAGTTCTGTGAAGGTCTGGAAATGTTAATTCTCTGCTAATGTTGTTGTAAGGAGACTATTTAACAGTTATCCTGCCTCTGAGCAGGTCATCAGACCTTGACAAAGTATCAAAGAGCAACATTAAAACCAGATTACACAGCAACAGAAGATAGAATGCTAATGTCCTGAAGACTGTAGGGCTAACCATTAGCAGCTGTTTGATTTGCACAGTTTTTTTTCCTTATTAAACATGGAGCTAGTTTTTTACTCAGCAAGAACTTATTATCTAAAGCTCCTCGGTTTCCAGTATTTACCACTGAGACAGTCTGCCTCAGTCTGCCTTCACTACATACCCTGCACTATCACAGGCATATGAAATCTGCACCTTTATATTAAAAGAATAAAGAACTCTGAAAACGTCCATTAAAGCGCTGTCACCAGTTTCTTGTAATAAGAAATAAGCATTGTAGTGTACTGCGGGATAGAATCCTGGTAACGTGGTAAATTAGCCAATAAGCAGCAAAAGGGTTAACTACTCTAAACTGTTGACAAACTTATCATAACATAAGGGTAAATGAGGAAGAGGAGACAAAGCAAAATGAAAAGGAGAGACACAAAGTATGTCTAATTCACCCAGTCCTACTACATATTGCACTCGAATCAGTGCAGAAACAAAAACATTCATCTACTCGATGCCAACAGGAATTTATTTCCATTTTTCTTTTCTTTTCGCTTCATAAGGAGTTACTCTTGAATAAAACAGCACCTTGACACTGTCACTCAACAAACACTGTTTATTATTCAGTCTTAAAGAATGACAAAGAAGTTTGGAAAGTAATTGTGCCCTCAGGTCCCTGTTACTGTTGCGTTTGAAAATTTCATTTCAGTTTCAATTTGCTCATTATGACAGATTTCTAGCGTCTAGCCATAGTTGGCTTCAGGAGCATTAGGGATATGAGACAAACGGGGGCGTCATTAAAAGATTCACATAAGGAAGTTTCAAGTCATCAAGGAAGTCATTATCTATTATTAATCATTAAACAATGACAGAGCTCAACACTACTTTAAAATGATTTATGTAATGTTATAAAGCAGAACATAGTTGGATACATTAATTGATTAATTTATTATCCACTGCATATGGACATGACTGAATTTGCACATGAAAATGTGGACTTACAATATTATGATTCACAGTATAGTGCAAAAAAATGAATTTTTCAAAACAGACTGATCTCCTTCTGAGAATTAAATCTACGTGTTTCTATTGTGTAATCTCTTTTTTATTTTTAAAAAATCACACAAACAAATATTAAATACAGTATTATGTGAAATCCCTCTTTATTATGTCTCCAAATAATCCAGAAAATATGCTTTATTCATTTTACATCATAACATGTCTTTATGTAATTTACAGTACAAAAGCAGAACTGTATTCCTCTAGGTTTAATTTTTTTTTACTACATTTCAGCTTATTATTTATCATAACATTTGGCCCATTAATTCCTAAGGCCAGTCTTCATTATTAGCTGACACACCTGTGTGTTTCTGCTGAGAACATAATTTAATAGAGACACTCATGATTCCAGTCTAACCTTTGGATGATACAGATGTCCTTCTAAGTCACACCTCTGGACTGCATCTCTCTGAATGAGCTGCCTCAAACAACCTTCTGCCATAACGTTCAAAAGTGCTGCTACTTTTATACACCTACTTATCTCCCCGCAGTAGATTCTGACTTGAAATATATGAACATAACACTCTTTCCTAAATGCAAACATCAGGTGACACAGCTGTGTCCATTTGCATGAGCTAATAAGCTTCTTTTTCTGATTTTAGAGTAACTCGATATGACAATAATCCAAAATCAACTGAAACTGTCAATGAAATCTATACGTAGGTGTGTGTTGGTAATGCTGTCTGAACAGGCCAGAACAAACTCCACAGCGTTTATAACACCATACTTTATCATAATTTACTGATAATTATATTGCTAGACTATTGTTGCAGTCTGAGAGGCAGTAAATTGATTCCTCTTGCATCTATTGTTTATGTACACAAAACACATTTCTCACAATAATTGTCATTAATACTAGTCAATAATTGTCAAGAACAGCTACAAAATAAAAATGTACTAAATATTTACTAAGGTAAACAAAAGCTCCTTCTCCTACCTTTTGCTTATGTCTCTCCAAGGTCAGAAAGCATTTAGCGGAACTGATCAGAGCTTTGCATAATAAGCGTCTCTCATGAATAAGTGATGACTGTGATGAAGTTTCAGCCTTACATAAAGAGCTTATACATACCAGGATATAGGATATTCCATTCCACAGGTATATGGACAATATTTCACTGGACGGATGGCTCGGGTAAGAGAGAGGTCAGAAGTGTCAGAAGGAAAGTACAAAGGACACTGTTTTTGACAAGCACACACTCAGAGCTGAATGTATAACTGTCTGTGGTAATCAAAATACATTTATAATTAATAGATTCCAATTCTGATATCAGTATTTCTTTTGGAGTGCTGTATGGTATTAAAAACGTATCTGTTTTAATGGCTATGGCAATTATTTTGACAGTATTCTTCAGGCCTAACTTATTAAGAGAATAACTTAAGAGACGATGACGATGTCATGTTTTCCCCCAAAATAACTATTTGCAGGTCAAATAAATAAATGAAACAATTTATCATTTAATAGTTTTTTTTAAATGGATATGACAATTATTTTGACATAATAATACATTTTTATATATTATAATTTAGACATTATTATAAGAAAAATGAGAAGCATTTATTCTGCATACCAGGAAACAAAAATTGTATTATATTATAAATATTATTATTATTGGTGTTGTTGTCGTCATAAAATACTGTTTATTTGTTGGGCAAATAAACAAATACATTTTTTTTCATGTTTTGTCTCAACACTAATGACTATTTATTTGTCTAATCTGCTTTCCAATGTCATTTCTTTACTCTCCTGTTTGAATAAAAATAAAAGGCCTCAAGAATAATACAACAATAAAACAAATATCCATATAAGAGTAGCTAACCAAACACATGCAAATTTAGATTAGGCCCCGTCCACACGGAGATGCGTTTAGCTGTATACCGAGCGGCAACCTCCCGCTCTCTCTTGTGAAGCCAACAAGGAAGTGACTTAAACTGTAATTCATCAACTGGCCGCTAGAGGCTAGCTGCAAAAGGGAGTCAATCCCATAGACTCCCCATGTTAAAATGCCCAACTTTACAGCAGAAAAAACATGTTTACAGCCTGGTTCAAAAAATTATTTTGGTCTATATAGCTAATGTTGCCCTTCATGACAACTGTGAGGGGGGTGAATGTTTTTATAACTCATCCGTTTAAATTATATTAAGCCTTAAAATTCTGCATAATTAAGGGCATGGCCATTTGAGTGACAGGTGGATTGACGTTGCTGTCTCTATCAGCCGCTGAACTTGGCGTCTCTGCCATGTTTCTGCTTTTGTTTTATTCAGTCTATGGGTTATTTTCGTGATTATTTCTTAAAATGATCAAATAAAATGTCTTGTTGTGCGGTTAATTGTACTAACAGGCCGTCCAAGTCTGGGATCCGCTAAACGCGCGTTGCGTTCTTATCCTGGACTCATCTGCTTGTTTGTACATAAGTATGATTTGTTAATAACGTGTTTTCTGAGTTTGGTCTTTGAAAAACACTGTCTTAATGCATTAAGCCAAATTAAGTGTTTTAAAATGTCCCGAACAGAATGAGGACTGTGCAAAGTAGTCTGTGAAAAAGGTAACTATCTATTTGTCTGTGTAAAGTTTTCCTCTAGGTGATCCAGACCCTCTCAGACTAGACCAGTGGATGCTCAACGTTAAACGACAGAATTGGACTCCTAAAAAGGATTCTTGTCTGTGCAGTGAACACTTTGAGCACCTCAGCGCCACCCACGTCCCACCTCTTTGCCCATTTTCGATTATCGGGGAGTGACGCGCGGTGACGCGCTGCCAAGATGGCGACGACCGACTCCGCCCACTTTGGGCTTCAAAAAAGCTCTTCAGAATTCAACGGGTGACGTCACGGACACTACGTCCATGTTTTTTACAGTCTATGCCTACCTCTTTGCCCATTTTCAATTATCCGAGAGTGACGCGCTGCCAAGATGGCGACGACCGGCTCCGCCCACTTTGGGCTTCAAAAAAGCTCTTCAGAATTCAACGGGTGACGTCACGGACACTACGTCCATGTTTTTTACAGTATATGCTGTATACGCATACATTTTGTATTGTATAGGCGTTTCGTCCACACGGATCCTGCGTTTTGGGAGAGTATAGGCATTTCGTCCACACGAATCCGGCGTTTTGGAGAGTGACCGGGTCCCAGAGAGGATAAATCTGAAAACGCCGCCCTTGCGTTTTCGTGTGGACAGCGAATCCCTATATTTTCTGAAACGATGACGTCATCAGCCCAAGTCTCGCCCCTAGTCAGACACCGCTACGTCACATAACAGCTACAAAAACATGAACAAACACTGAACGATTGTCTTTTCATTAACTGACATTAACACAGATTAATAAATGTACTGTTCCATGTTCGTTTGTATACCGCGCGCAAGGTTTATGCGTATAGTCCAAGTCTTCTTCTCCATTTTTAGTGTATCTCTGTGGCAGAATTACAGCGCCAC